GCATTAGCGATCATCGCACTTATAAAAGACAATGGTATTATGTTTTAAACCAATTGGATTGACCGCTAATTAATGACGAGCCTACATAAACTGCAAGAGAAACCAGTTGGAAATGTTGATGTGAACTATGTTAGTGAGAGTTCTAATAGAAACAGGTTGAAGCTAGCAGAGAATCGTCCATCTCCTCATAAGCATCAGGAATATCGTTTGGTGTCTTGCTTTGAAGTGAACTGGAGCAAACACGACGAAAACATGAGCCGACGCTATGCATCGTGATGGCGTATATGAGAAAGTTGCTTCAAAAGAATGTAGTGATCCACAGAAGCCAAAACGCGTTAGGATTGACGCAAGACGAATGCATTGCCGGTGCAATTCTTGCATACTTAATGAAAAGTGAGAATGCTACAGACATGCCGACAATATATGCTCAAGAAACAAAAGTGGTGATGTACTAAGAGACATGAAGCTATTGAAGCTGAGCTTCGCCTACATCAGCAGAACCAAAAAAATATAAAAGCTAAAAAAGAAGGAAAATCGCACAATTGGATTACGATGCGACATTGCCATGAAAAGTGATAAAAAAAGTGCACTGTTGTCCGGTACAAGGCACAACTTTCCACGAAGGGCTCTAACACAACTATGAGATTGCTTTCGTCAAAAACTTTTCCTGGCTGTTAAAATGAGCTCAATTTGGATAATACTCTCTGTGTGCGCGAAGTGCAACTACTAAATGGAACAGGTGGATGTCGGTACTGCTTTCTCAGCAATGTGCTAACAGTTAACGTTTCGCTGGGGTCGACAATGTGCAGGGATATGTAGCCCAATCAAAAAGTCTGCATACGGGATGAAACAAGCAACATGTACCTGGAACAAGACATTACATAGTATCTGTTTGAACAATTGCTTTATGAGCTGCGGGGGGACCAGTGCGTTTCTGTCAAGCGATCTTGTTTAGGTTAGACCATTTTAGTTTATTTGTGGATGACATGATTATACAAGCAAAAAAGCAGGGAGATCATTGAGTTCAAGATACTGCTCAGAAATAAATTAAAGATGAAGGCGCTTGATAACGCAGATTTTCTCTGGGCATGATGATTGATCACGACAGTTCCCTCGAAAACACTTTTGATCTAGCAGTCTTGTGACACTGACAACGTGGTCAGGCGATTCGATCAATCAGATGCTAAAAGAGTTGACAACCCGTGCGCATCAGGATTGATGTTGTCATCAGCGCAGTCGCCTACAACGGAATTGGGTCAATTGGAGATGCGCTTGAAACCATATCGATACTTGCCTAGAAGCTTGATGTACATACCACATATACTACACCGGATGTTGAATACGTGGTAACAAAGCTATCACGTTTCCAAGAAAATTTTGGACTGCCATATTGATTACCGCCTACTCGCGCGCTACGCTTCCTAAAGAGCACATGTCTAATCGATATCGTCTATCAAGTCAGTGGTTACATTGCGGTTAAGGCATGTTCAGGTACCGATCGGGGCATTAATATCGATGACAAATGCTCGGTTTCGAAAGTTGTGATCATGGTTAAAGGAACGCCAGTCGTGTTCAAATCCTAGCGGCAACAGACCGTTGCACTCGGCTTGGAAAAGACTAAAATATAAATATATGGCTATCAGCCTTTGCACTGAAGATATCAATTGGAAGCGTGCGATGCTTAAGATCGCGCGTCGCGACTGACTGGAAGGCACAAAAGTTTGAAAGAACCAAGAACAGATCAGATATGGTGCAAACGCCAAACACCATGCTCGGTCGAAGCACTAAGACAGAAGGCACCACATCATACGCAAGAATGTGCGAGAAGGTATTTTGAAGATCTACCACATCGACACGAAGCGTCAGCTTGCGGATATGCTGACGAAGGCATTCAAAATCAAGATGATTGCGTCTATACGCGAGGCCGCAGGAGTCGAGACCAATCCTAGCTAAGGATCAATGTGAACTAATGGCGAGTGAACGTGTTGGATTTACGCCGCTTGATACTGTTGAAGAACGGTATTGTGGTTGTATGTCTACTATACTTGCTTTTTAACTGTTATATTTTTTCGTATAGAAAACGAACTCAGATTTGCCTTGTGGTGGGTCCACTTTCATTATTAAGGGTTCTAATCCCCAAAAGAGCCAAGTTCTATTTGAGTGTATAGGGTTCACTGTGAGTTGGTTATCCACATCCATCGACATAGGCTGAGTCGGTGCACATCCCACCTCTTTAAGCATCTCCTGAATACCAAGAAGCTCGCGTGCCATCTCGGATGCTGCGACAAATTTGGCCTCTATAGTCGAGAGAGAGACGCCACCTTGTTTCTTGACTGCCAGCTTACAGGCATCCCATTAAGCAAAACGATGGCACCAGTGAGAAATTTTCTATCTCCCTTGTCGGCAGCAAAGTCGGCATTACTGTAAGACTCGAGCGTTATTTGTTTGTTTGCGGTCGGTATTAGTGCCCATTTCAAGCCGCATCACCTTGCTGCCACTAAGATAGCGCGCTATCCTCTTTGCGAGTTTCCAGTCTCGTACGCGCGGTGCATGTGTCTGGCGCGTGGCTTTGTGAACCGCAAATGCAATGTCTAGACGCGTGCATCGTGCAATCCATAGCAAACTGCCGACCAGCGACTGAAACGAGCGAATACTTGGTGATGCACTATCTGGCGTGACGTTTTCGTAGCAATCGTCACCGATAGGCGTCCACGTGTGGTTGGACGAACCCATGCCGTGCTCATGCCCACGCAACAGCCTCCTCCTGATCAAGGACATATGCGTGCGTGTCGAGTGCCGTCACTCTTATGCCGAGAAACTTGGACACTGGTCCAAGATTCTTGATCGAAAGCGATGTCATCGACAGAAAAAGTGCTCAACCGCTGCAGCTCTTGTTGTTGTGACAAGGAGATCGTCGACGTAGACGCCGACAACTGTCAAGACTTCTTCCTCGCGCTTGAAGTTCAGGCACATGTCGCTGATACACTGCTTGAATCCTGCGTCAGTAAATCTTGCGTGTAGCAATTGACTCCATAATTGTCCTGCCTGCTTTAGTCCATATAGGCTCTTCTTTAGCTCAAGCGCGACTTCGCTTGCGTTGGTTGCACCAAGCTTCTTTAGTTGTTTATCCTTGATGTCCATACCGCTAGGCACATGGAGCAGAATCTCAAGGTCCTTCTCCTTGTCGGCATTGACGTAGGCGCTCGGAATGTCACCAAGCTTTGCCGGCACCCCCCTCCTCGCTGCAAGGCCTAGGATCACCTGTACTATCGACATAACCATGACCGCAGCGAAGGTGAGCGCATAATCGTTGCCGAAACCTTGCTTGTTCCCGCACGCAACTAGCCACGCCTTGAGGCGCTCCTTCGCGCCATTTGCATTAGTTTTGGTCTTGAATACCCGCTTACTGTGCAGCATGTTCGCCCCAGTCGGTCGCTTGAAAAACATTCCAGTCACCATTATTTGAAGAGCGGGGATCTCCTCGAGCATTGCCTTTTTTCATCCTTCAGCTTTCGTGCTGCGCATTGCCTCCGCGTGTGTCTTGGGATCAGCCTCGTAAACTAGCATCACAACTGGCACATCATTTGTCACTTGTTTACTGTCTTGTGCCGCTCGCTTGGCAGCCCCTCGTGTGGCATGGGATGCAAGTACCCACAATTTCTGATTAGCTGTCCCCTTTGTTTTAGCTACGACGGGGACAATCGAAGATGTCTCCACCTCAGCTCCTGGGAGCCTTAATATTCTTGACGTGTTGGGTCACGATCACGACATTGGCCGTGCGTATGAACAGACGATATCCTTTGGTCTCGTCGCTGCGACCCACGATGATGCCAATCCGCGCCCAATGTGCAAAAGAGTTCTTCTTCGGATCACGGTACACTGTGCACACCAAACCAAAAGTAACGATATCACGAAGGTTGGGTGCTTGACTTGTTCGTACCTCAATTGGTGATGCTTGGTTGACGTTCGAGCTTGTGGGACTGCGATTTAGTATGTACGCTGAGTATTCCACCGCATCTCCCTAATTTTAGCGGGAGTTTGCATGCAAAAATCATAGAGCGGACCATATTTAGAACCGTCCGGTGCATGTGCTCTGCCTTGCCATTTAATGCTTGATTTCTTGCTTCGCTCACCTGCCGTGACACGCCGGCGGACTTGCAGAACAAATCAGCGTTCCGATATTCACCTTCCCCATCTGTTCGTAGGACATGAATGCGAAAGTCGAAGCGCTTCTCAAAGAACACTAAGAATTCCTTGAACCTTTACGCCGTTTGGTCTTGGAGCGTCCCGATCCGCGGCAGTAATTGCTCTTGTGATCGACAAAGTTAACGAGGGACCGATTCCCAAGGCGGTCCTTTGGCGTCATCGGTCCCTTAAGTTCTAAGCAAATCACACCGCCGATGCGATCGATCGGGGAGTGCGCACTCGTATCTTTCTTTGACTGCGCGTTCTTGGTTTGCTTACTCTGGGCGCGCGTGACGCACACCATGCGTCGACAGTCCGTGAGCTGAATTCCAGAGCCGGCTTGAGCACCATCCTCTCGATTGTGTCGATAGATGCCCGAAACGCTGCTGGAAATGCATGAGCGTTCCACGCTGCACGTTTTCTCCGCGCTCCTTCACCTTAGCAATCGATGCCACGATGAAGCCAGCCTTGCTAATGTCGTCTCGTTCGACTTGCACTTCTACAACAAGCCCAATGTTTTGCATTGCCACATCAAAAATGACGTTGCCGGTGTTGAGCGATCTGATCGTTCGCCAATCGTTTGCGTAAACGAGCTTGTATCCTTTAAACTCGAGCTTGCCGCACGACAATATATTTTGGGCTAGCATTGGTGCGTAGTAGACGTCGGTTTGGCAAACGATTCTCGGCTTGCCGAGCGCTATTACCCGCAGTAGCACGCTACCGACCAGCGTCAGCTGAAGCATCGTGCCATCGGCTACCAAACACAGATATTTACATTCTCGAGCATGTTCGAGTAGCTCTGCGTCGTTCACGAGATGCCGGCTCGACCCGCTGTCCAAGATCCAATTCTCTTGAGTGTCGCTATCTTGTACGCACAAGGTATAGTTTACCACGCCCTTCGTTTTGACGTTCTCTCTCAGCCACCCTTGGCACCATCATGCCTTTTCTTCTTCTCATCGGGACAAGCAGCCAAAA